TGTTGTTATATCACATCAAATATTTAGGTTTGATGAAGCCCTATTGGGTTCCTCGAGTTTCAGTTTTATCTCCAAGGAGTCTATTCAGTATTATGATGCTTAAAACCATAACAATAACAATAACATAATAATAATAGCATTTATTGAATACTGACTCTGTGCCAGGTATGCTGCTAAATGCTTTATATATACTGCGTAATTTAATTTCCACAGGTGACTTAATTCTAAAATTTGTAGTGAAAGTGGGAAAAGAGAAATGAAAAGAAACCAGAAAGGCATAAAAGAGGAAAGTGGAGGAAAAGGATAGTTGATATTTTTTGTTTTGTTTTAACTTCCTTCTTATCCTGTTTTGCTTCTGATTCTTTACCAGTGACTCACAAGGCCCAAGTTTTATCTTTTCTTCCCTCATTGTAATTATACTGCAGTGAAGTCTTTATTATATATCACTAAAATGTGTAACTGAGTAATAGAAGTATAGATCTTATTTAAAGATCTAATAATCTCGGGGTATTGAGGAATTCCAAAATACTACCTCCAGTTGTAAATGATAGCAAATGATTTCAAGCAGCCAAATCTTAGCTGACTCTTGATCTTAACATCATGAGTGTTATTACCTAGCCTTAATATGGCATGATATCCCTATGAATAAAATACTTTAAGAATATAGATTTCATAACTATGGCTTCTATTTGTTCATTGATTTCCTTTACCTTCTTGTTTCAGTTAAAGAAATGTATGACTATCAAGGCAGGTCCTATCTTCACATACCTCAGGATGTTGGTGTTAATCTGCGGTCAACTGTGCCACCTGAGAAGTGTTATCTTCCCAAAAAACAAATTCATGTGTGGTCTGGACACACAAAGGTAGGCAAGTAGGTTATTTCTGTTTCCTGTAATGTTACAGTAGTGAAGCCAACATAGTTTCAGCCATTGATGTGTAACATTCAGTATTTCTAGTAAAGATGCAGGGAAGTCAAACTGAAGGTAAACCTGAGTTAGGCTCTGGAGGTGCCCACACATATCAGTCACAAATGACTAATCAGTCTTCAAGGCCATCTGAATTGGCCATGACATAGCAATCATGGTTCAGTGTCCTGCCCCCTTGTGGTAGCCCAGGCCTTTCCTCACAAGCTTCTGCCACAATCTGCTTCCTTTTGGGCACCAAATCAGTGGGTTGTGGGCTGCTACTAGCACCAAGTCTTCTGCTTAGCCTTAGTAATCTTGCATTACCTCTTGTGGTTATCACACTTGCAGAAATCAGATGCTCCCTGGTTCATAAACTATGGTAATGTTGAAACTAATGCAGAGACAAAATACATGAAAACTTTAGGTATTGATATTCTTTGTCATGTGCACTATTTCAACTGATAATTTCCAGCTTTTTGCAAAGACCAAAGGGACTAAGTGAAAGAAAGAAGAGAAGTGGGGGCATTAGCAATTTGATTAACTCAGGATTCCCTTGGGTGAGGAAGTCAATATTAAAGGTTAAAAAAAAAAAATCTTCAAAAGCTTAGTGTCAACAAGGTCTGCTCCTGGAATACTAATGAAGGTTATTCTAGGGCGTGATTTTTGGAATGAAGAAAAATAGCAAATTAGGTTGCTTAAAATATACTGTCTTTTCTTGATGTTTAATTTTAGCTGATATTTAGAATGCTTCTGGTTGATAACTGTAATACCTTTTCATAGGGTGTCAGTGCAGTCAGATTGTTTCCTCTCTCCGGCCATTTATTGCTGTCTTGTTCCATGGACTGTAAAATCAAGGTGAGTTTTCAGTAACAGGAGTGCTGCAAAGCTAGTTCTTTTGTTAAATCTATTGGGTTAATTATAAATAAATTTGGGTTTACTAGGCAATTAGAAGCTAATTATTTTCTCTTAGGCCCTGTGAATGCAGTGATTTATGAACTGCTTCCAAACATGTAGATTCAAATATGGCTCTGTGGTTCAATTGGCTAGGCTCTTTTTTAAGCTTAGACAACTGATTAGAATGTAATCCAGTAACTTTGGCTTTAGATACATAAATATTTAATCACTAATAATGCATTTTTATAGGTATTTTGGATAGGTAACTGAACCTTATGAGGTAGAGAGGACGCATGATAGAAATTCTGTTTTTAGAGAGTAGACAATGTAATTCATCCTTTTTCATCTAAATACTAGTAGACACCAAGTAGCAAAAATGTTCCTAGCCCTTTCTCCCACTTTTTCTATTCTCAGGAAGCTCCACCTTTAGCTTCTTTTCAGCCATAGAATGTGTGGTAGGAAATGTATGTTACCAGTGCATGTCAACTTGAATATGAGGAAAGCCTTGAAAAAAATTTTTTAAATCTGAAAGGATAGTCCTTCTTTTTTGTGTGTGTCTTCTCTCTGTTTAGACCGTTAAGAAATGTTATGATGGTTCAATAAATACCGACTCTATAGTGCTCTTGGGGCTTGGAAAGTTGAATCATTAAAATTTAATCCTTTATAAATAATTCATGGATATTAACAACATATAAAGGCAACTTCCTTTGATAAGAGCAACCATTTGGCATTTGTCTCTAACAGCTTAAAATGACAGACCAGCAGTTTTGGAGTAAAAACCCTTATCTCCTTTAACTTTTACTTTATATAGACTATGTTAATTGAGATGGTCTTCTCTCTGACCAACCAAAAAAGCACAGAATTCAGTTTAGTCCACTTCTATTAACAATTATTAGATGCCTAATGTGTGCAAGGGGCTGTGGGTAAAAAATTGTTACAGTACTGTCCCTGCCCTTGGAGTGATCATGATGTTATGATGTAAGTGATTATTACAGAAACAGATACAAGATACTCTGATTTCAAAGAGGAAGCATATACTTCAGTAGGAAGGTTAACTCAGTAAAGTTGGGGGGGCCAGAAGTAGAGTGTGCTTGAGACAAGTGATTAGAATGAATCAGTATGATGCGTGCTGAAAACTACAACTGTTCTGTGGTTGCTAGAGCATAAAATCTAAGAGGCAAAGAATGATTACAGTCATGGCAAGAGACCAGGTCTCAGAGGTCCTTGCCTGGTATGCTGCAGTAACTGAGACTGTATCCTCTTGGCATTGGGTAGCCAGCAAATGCTTTCTATTTCAGAACACTAGCAACAATGTTGAGGATTGGATTTGAGGCAGACAAAAATAGAGCTAGTTTTGAAGCTATTGAATTAATCTACTTTGGATGTGATAAGAATTGTCAGCCTATTATTTTACTCTGTATCATCATTTTCATATAGCGTCTATAATAGTTATTACTTCAGAAAAGTAAAAAAAAAGTCACTATCAAAATATTATACATGGCAGTTTTAATAACATTTAATTCCTTTAAAAGCAGTTTGTAGTATTTTCATCATAGAAAATATATAAAACAAAAAATAACAATAAAAAATGAAAATCATCTGAATTAACGCCATCTATAGTTCTCTTCATATTTTGATGTAAAGATCTTTAAACACTCCTTAGTTTTAAGAAGTTTGTGGGTGTGTTCCAAATAGTACAATAGTACTATTAGTATAAAGTAGCTGCATCAAGCAATATTTAATGATTAAATCCCTTGTACACACACAGATATGCACACACATAGCCAGCATATGACTGTTGTTACTGACTGAAGGACTTTTATTAAATTTAGTATTTCCATGTATTGTTTTTTTCCCTAGCTATGGGAGGTTTACGGAGACCGGCGCTGTTTGCGAACATTTATTGGTAATATTTCTTTTCTCTCTGGTTATAAATCTGTTTGGGAAGACTTTTTAAAGAAATGACATCATTGACAGTAATTTTACTATGTTGTTATAAAGGAAAGTCTTCACAGACTTGAGCTGAGTCTAGAAGGAGGAGTAAGTCTCCCCAGGTAGATAAAGAGAACAAGGAAATGAGAGCAGCAGAAGCAAAAGCAAAAGTGATGTGAGAAACGTGCCACTTTGGGAGAACCACATATATTTCAGGATTGCCCGGGTATGGGGAATGGTGAGAGACAGAAGTAGAGAAAAGTAGCAGGAGGGGGACCAGAGAGTGGATGACCTTGTGTACCATTAATAAAGAGTTTAGACTCTATTCTAAGGCATTGAGGAGCCATTAAAGAGCTCCTGCAGGAAAGCAACATGATTTGAAGTTTACAAAGATCACTTAGCAATATGGAGGATGCTTTGGTAGGGCAAGCTTGGAGGAAAGGACATGAATTACATGGTTATTTCATTGATCTGAATGAGAGATGATGAAAGTCTGAACCAAAGCAGCAGAAATAGAGAAGAAAGGAACTCTCAAGCCTTAAAAGCAATAGGATTTAGTAATGGGAAGTCAGTGATCAGAGTGATGCAGAAATCTAGGGTGACTCCCAGGTGGCTGGAGGAATGGTGGCACCATTCACCAAGAGAGGGAACATAAGAGGATGATGAGATTTAGGACTCATTGAATTTGAGCTGCCTTTGGGGTATTCAGGTGAAAATGTCCAGTAACCAATTAGATAGCTAGATGTTGAGCTTTAAAGAGAGGCTGGGAATTGGCGGCTGAAGTATGCGAAAGGATAAGATTAAGAGAACTCTTTAAAGAAAAGAAGAGGGCCAAAGGGAGGACAGCTTTGTGACAACCAGCCTTCTTGGTAGAGAAAGGTTTATTGTCTTTGTCAAATTTCATGTGAAGGCCACTCTTTCCAAATTTAACTGTACCACGTTGAAACTCTGTACATGATAGTGGCTCTGTTTTTAGATTAAAGTGGGAGTCTGTTCTGCACTGCTTTGTTATGATTTTAGAGCCTCCCTACAAATAAATACTGCCCAAGATGCCACCACAGCCTAAAGGAAAACTTGTGGAAAGGATTTTACCTGCGTACCAGGGAACAAAATGTCTCTGTCAAACACAGTGTATTTGCTTCCCATCTGTTTCTCCTGTTCTAGCAGATCATTTTTTAGTGGAAAACTGAAATTTTCCTCCTTAGGAAGCAAGGATAGCAGCTCTGACTGGGACTCCCACTTTAGAAAAGAATGCCTCATTGCGATGGCACATACTGCCTGACGGGAGTTCACTGGTGGTGGTAGTTTAGGGTTTAGGGCTGCTGCGTGTGGTTGACAATTTGTGCCATGCACATTTTGCACAACTGTACATGTCTTGGTCATGGGGTAGTAAAAATAGGAAAGTTTCTGGTTTTGTTTAGCCATATTTTATTTGTCCCTGTAACTTTCAAAAGAGTTGATTAGTCTGGCAAGATTGATTTCTAAGTAAAGCGTAATCAGCACCTTAAAATTAAATGCCATCTTAAAAAAAAAAACAGAAGCTAATATTACAGTTTTCAAAAAGGCTTATTTAGTCTGTGAGATTCTGAATCAGTTTGTGAAATTTGGTAATGTGATCATAGAAATATACAATTATTGAACAAGGGCTACAATTTCTTGAGCGTTAGGTTTAGGTCACTTTGTTTTCACTTCCAGCCTGGTGAGCAATCTAAGAATGAACTTCCAAATTTTCAGCAGTCATTTCTTTCATTGGCAATAATTAGTCTATTATGTTTCCATAAATTCTTAGCTGCTTAGTCATCAGTTGTATGTACTGCATATTAAGAGATTGCCATGACAGGCTTTAAAAAAAAAAGTTAGACCTTTTCTCTTGGTTCTTACCAGAATGTTATGCATCAGAATCACCTAAGGAAATTCTTAAAGGGGAAAAACACCCACACTCTGAAGCCCAAACATAACGTAAATTAAGTGATGGGGTTCCGGTGACCTTGACTCACAGCTTGACTTGAGATCTACTGTTTAATGCTGTTTCTCTTTATGGTGTTTGTGTTTTAAGAGAAGATAACGAAACTTCATCTCACTGCCATTTCTATTGGCTCTGCCTTTAGGTCACAGTAAAGCTGTTAGGGACATCTGCTTTAATACTGCAGGAACACAGTTCCTTAGCGCAGCGTATGACAGGTATCTGAAGCTCTGGGACACTGAGACAGGTAAGAGCTCACTTACACTAATACATATTAATCTTAGAAGTTATCATTTTTATATGAAACAGTCTGAGCAGTCTTTTGTGGAAAAATGGCTCCTTCTCTAACTGCTAATTCTCATACCCTTGACTATCAGCTAATATC